CACACAAATAAATACACGCAAATAAAATGGTTCCCCATCTTTTCCCATATTTTCTGGGTTTTTGTCTTCCCGCCCAATTCCCATATTTTCCCACATTTTCTGGGGAATCGTCGATTAATTGTGTCTGTGTGCTTTTTTCCCTCCTGAGAAGAAGCGGCATATCGACCAAGAAGCGCGCCACGGCCGGGCCTTCGCGCGCGACGCGTCGGGGGCCGCGTCGAGCCGCGGCCCCTGCGCGAGCGACGCAACATCGCCCGCCTCCACCTCGAGCGCCTCCCCGCTGGGGCCTCCCAGGGCCGCCTGATTTGTGCGCGGCGGGAGGGGGGGGGCCTCGCTTTCCCCGCGCAAAAAAACAGCCTTGCATGAGAATGGGGTCATCAGGCTCGAGGGCAGCCTGCAGGAACAACGGATCGACCCCAGATCCGGCTCGAGCGGCAGCAATGCTGGGAAGCGCGCGCTTGCGCGAACAAAGCTTGAGCGTTTGCCCCTGGCCGCGCGCGCAGAGACCGCCGCGCGAATGCCCTGCAGCTTGGGCGCGGGCCTTGGCCCGGACCCCGCTGCGCGAGCAACTTCCGATCGAAAACTTAGCTAGGGCGCTCGCCGACCGCCGACCGGACGAAATCAAACGAAGCCCTGGATCCTGGGGGGGGCCCAACTGCGCAGCGAACAGAATTCACGCTGCTGTTGAAGACCTGTTAGCATAAGGACAGCAAGCATGTTGAGCGGCGCGAGGCCGACATCCACTGCTGATCATCTGCGGCGCCTGGCTGACGGCCGACGCCGCGTGCCATCCAGCACGACGGCCGGCCAAGACTGGGCGAGACAGAGGGCCGCGACTGGAATTCCAATCGACGACGTCGCAGGGCTTGCCACTCCGCCAGAGCCTCAAAAACTTTGCACGCGGAGCCAACGGGCGTTCGCGCGTCTCAGCCTGCCACAGCACTCTACGCCACTGGCAGGCCGGCGCAATCGCCGACGCTCCTGCCCCACCGCCGAGCAGCGCAGTCTCGCGCGCCAGGCTCGCTCCACCATGAGCAGGTAGCTGACCACGGGCAACTGCACGTCGACACTGCAACCACCCCGCGTTGCACAGCCCAACGACCTCGCTGCCGCAGGTGGCCTCGGGCGTGGCAACAGCTCCGATGACGGCGCCGATGGACACTTGGCCTTGTGGCCTGACAACCCTGCCGAACCCCCCGATCACCCTCGCGCGCTGGACCACGCGCTGGCGACGCCTCACAATGCAAAAGAGAAACACAATAGTCGGGGATGGACAGACCCCCCTTTAGTAAAACGTGGTTTAGTGAAAACGACCTGAGGCCCAAACCTGGCGGGCGCAAACCTGGAAAATAACGGCCACGGCGCCCTCTCGAGAACCGAAAACGGACAATTCACTAATCGACGTGTCACTGTTGGGGGTTTTGTCCACCCCCGACACAATAGAGGGCACGCGCTGCCGGGGCCATCCTGCCACGACGTAGGCGCAGTCACACCTGGGGTCCAAACTCGCCAGTGTCCCGGGGCCGACCCCGCAGGGCGGGGGGCGGCAGGTCGGCGGGGGGCCAAGAGAACCTACCCCGCCGCTCCGCGGACTCTGCCCGCGACATTCTGGCGCTCTGCGGAACATCCTCGCGGGCCACGAAGGAAGCTTCGCCGAGAGCGCCGACGGGAAGGCCATCGCCGGGCGCGAGGCTACTGCTCGACAGTAGCCATTTGGCTTCTGGTTCGTCTTGCTGGGGCTCCGCGGCACCACGCCTCGCCTGCATTTCGACTGGCATGTCCAAACAGCGCGAAACGGAGAACGAGCGAGCAGAAGTGGATGATCCGATCTTGGAGCTGCAGCAGATTACCATCGAGGCCACCGAGATTGGAGAAATGTTCGATGGACTCGATGGAATAACGAATCAGCTCTTTTTGGTGTACACCTCGCCAGAGCACAAGTACCAGCGCATGAAGAAGTGCAGAGAGGTGCTCGCAGAGCGCATCAGCAACCCGCTCCACTTCGTCACTACTGGCATGGCCTCTTTCAGACAGAATTTCTTTAACGTGGTCAGTGGGCAGGAGAAGGGACTGAGCGAGGCCTGCAAGAAGAACGCCATGGCAATGGGCCAGTTCAACAAGAGGAGTGCTTTTCCAAAAGGGCCCTAAGAGATGCCGACGCAGAGACTCTTGCGCGACAAGCCTGCCATCGGAGCTTCGCCATCCTCAGCAAGACCAGGGACAGAGGAGGACGAGCAGCGAGGCTCGCCATCCTGAGCAAGGCCCGGACAGAAGAGGACCAGGAGCGGCGAGGTTCGCCATCCTCCTCGCGTGGCCGACTTTTGCTGGCTCGCAGGGGGACTCAAGATGAGGCCCCCCCGCCGTGGAGCAGCGCACACGTCCGGGCGGTGCCTGGGCACGGCTGACTCTGGAGCCCCCGCCTCCCCCCCTCCCTCCGCACCCCCCTCCGCGCGTGGCCGACTTTTGCTGGCTCGCAGGGGGATCCAAGGCGAGGCCCCCCGCCGTGGAGCAGCGCACACGTCTGGGCGGTGCCAGGGCACGGCTGGCCCTGGAGCGCCCGCCTCCCCCCCTCCCTCCGCACCCCCCTCCGCGCGTGGCCGACTTTTTTTGCTGGCTCGCAGAGGGATCCAAGGTGAGGACCCCCGCCGTGGAGCAGCGCACACGTCCGGTCGGTGCCAGGGCACAGCTGGCCCTGGAGCGCCCGCCTCCCCCCCTCCCTCCGCACCCCCCTCCGCGCGTGGCCGACTTTTGCTGGCTTGCAGGGGAATCCAAGGTGAGGCCCCCCGCCGTGGAGCAGTGCACACGTCCGGGCGGTGCCAGGGCACGGCTGGCCCTGGAGCGCCCGCCTCCCCCCCTCCCTCCGCACCCCCCTCCGCGCGTGGCCGACTTTTTTTGCTGGCTCGCACGGGGACTCAAGATGAGGCCCCCCGCCGTGGAGCAGCGCACACGTCCGGGCGGTGCCAGGGCACGGCTGCCCTGGAGCGCCCGCCTCCCCCCCTCCCTCCGCACCCCCCTCCGCGCGTGGCCGACTTTTGCTGGCTCGCAGGGGGATCCAAGGCGAGGCCCCCCCGCCGTGGAGCAGCGCACACGTCCGGGCGGTGCCAGGGCACGGCTGGCCCTGGAGCGCCCGCCTCCCCCCCTCCCTCCGCACCCCCCTCCGCGCGTGGCCGACATTTGCTGGCTCGCAGGGGGATCCAAGGCGAGGCCCCCCCGCCGTGGAGCAGCGCACACGTCCGGGCGGGCACAGGCACGGCTGGCCTGGAGCGCCCCGCCTCCCCCCCTCCCTCCGCACCCCCCTCCGCGCGTGGCCGACTTTTGCTGGCTCGCAGGGGGATCCAAGGCGAGGCCCCCCGCCGTGGAGCAGCGCACACGTCCGGGCGGTGCCAGGGCACGGCTGGCCCTGGAGCGCCCGCCTCCCCCCCTCCCTCCGCACCCCCCTCCGCGCGTGGCCGACTTTTGCTGGCTCGCAGGGGGATCCAAGGCGAGGCCCCCCCGCCGTGGAGCAGCGCACACGTCCGGGCGGTGCCAGGGCACGGCTGGCCCTGGAGCGCCCGCCTCCCCCCCTCCCTCCGCACCCCCCTCCGCGCGTGGCCGACATTTGCTGGCTCGCAGGGGGATCCAAGGCGAGGCCCCCCCGCCGTGGAGCAGCGCACACGTCCGGGCGGTGCCAGGGCACGGCTGGCCCTGGAGCGCCCGCCTCCCCCCCTCCCTCCGCACCCCCCTCCGCGCGTGGCCGACTTTTGCTGGCTCGCAGGGGGATCCAAGGCGAGGCCCCCCGCCGTGGAGCAGCGCACACGTCCGGGCGGTGCCAGGGCACAGCTGGCCCTGGAGCGCCCGCCTCCCCCCCTCCCTCCGCACCCCCCTCCGCGCGTGGCCGACTTTTGCTGGCTCGCAGGGGGGACCGGAGGTGCTCCTCTCGAGGGCCCCCGCCGAGGAGCAGTGCACACGCCCGGGCGGTGCCAGGGCACGCTCGCTGGCCCTGGAGCGCTCGCTTCCCCACTCCCTGGGGGCCGGCGTTTCGCGCCGCACCGGCCTGTTGACGGCCCTGGGGTTCCGTCGGGCATGTCCCCCTGCAGGCGCGCTTTGAACGAAAAACTAAAAACACTCAAAAGATAACCCCACATGGTCAAAAATATATGAAAAAATCGTCCCCATATAATTTTGTACCATTTCTGAGTGTTCCTCCTGTAGAGGGACACGCCCGACTAAACCCTAGGACGCAGAGACGGTCCCCAGAGTCCAGGACTTGGGAGCAACGAGCCAACAGGATCGAATCAAATCAGGGAGAGAGCGTCTGCTGTGCATGCTTCACTGGTGCAAAATCCCAACCTCCCAACCAACCGCCCCCGCCTTGGAAGCGCCCCTTCTCACCCTCGAAAATCCACCCCCTCTCCTCTCCAGAACCGCCCCCGCCCCACTCCCCAGCGAGAACCCCCCTCTAACACACCCCTTCGCCACGTCGTCGTCGTCGTCGTCGTCGTCGTGGTCGTCGTCGTCGTCGTCGTCCTTTGTCAGCAAGTCTGTCGGTCGGGAGGGCGGGCGGGACAGGTCGAAATCGTCGTGGGCAAGTCGGTCGGACGGGCGGGAGACGTAGCCGTCGTCGTCGTTTGCCGGCACTGGGGTCGTCGCCGTCCCCGTCGAAATCGCCGTCGTCAGTCTTCGTCGTCGCCGCCGTCATCGTCATCGTCGTCGTCGTCGTCGTCGTCGCCGTTTGCCGGCGCTAGGCGTCGTCACCCAAATCTGGCTCCCGCCTGGGGGAAGGGGTCTCGACCCCCTTCCCGACGTTGGGGGGGGGCGCCTGCCCATGTCTGGAAGTGAGGCGAGGGGGTCGTCACGGAAGGGGTGAGTTTGCTGGGGATCCATCAGGGCGCCACTGCGGTCCTGGCAGGACGGGAGGATGCCGTCATGCGTGTGGTGCCACCACGTCTGCACGATTCCAGGGACCTGCTGTGCGCATGCTGCGCGCGGGCACGCAAGGCGGCGCTTGCTGGGAGCGCGGCCACTCTCTCGAGCTCGCTCGTCCGCGCGAACATCTCCCCCATCAGCGCGTCGTGGTCTGGCTGGGACACCTCCGCTGGCTGAGAGACCTCCGAACGGCGGGTGATCGCACGCGCCGGTCGGATAGACTCGTCGGGCGAGCCAGAAGAGGAGATCGGGCGACAAGGTGGCAGGCAGAGCCTGGGGTTGGGACGAGGACGGCGCCGCTCGACTAGAGAACGGGAACGGACTTGCCTGGTCAGTCTGTGGTGGAAGGTGCAGCCAGGGCGGGGGAAACTCGCTGAGCTGAGCTAAGCATGGTTTGGCGCCAGTTCGCTGGAGCTGCATTTTGCGAATTTGGCTCGACTTCATCTTCTATTTCGCATCTGTGCTGTGCCATAAAGGAAGATCTCACATGGTAGGAGGTGCAGCCGAGGTCACTCCAGACCTACGATTGCGCAACATCTCGCAAACGAAACCTGCGCATGCAGTCACTGAAACACGACTACCGGAGCGCAGCCAAAGGATGACGAGTGAGCCAGCGACGAAACCCATCCATTTTGCTGACTATCTACCAGACCACCCCAACCCAACCCGAAGACCCGAATTTCGGGTTGGGGGGGGTAAGGGTTCCACATGTGTTTTCTCAGTGTTTCCCGACCCCCCCCCAACCGGAAATCGAGGGAAAATCTGAGCCTTCGGGTTGGCTTGGGGTGGTTCGGTGGGTGGCGATTTGCGGGCTGGCGCGGAACAACCGAATGCCTGAACCCTGCACCCCCGGCACAGCAAAATAATCACGGAGCCGCCGTGCCCGCACAGCGAGGCTCGACGCCTCTCGGACGCGGGGCCCGGGCCGAGGGCGTGCGCCGGGTCGGGCGGCAGGGAAGCCGCAGCGGCAGCGCCAGAGCTCGCCCCCGGGGGGGCGACCCCACGAGAGGCCCAGCCGGGGCGCCGGAGCGCCAGGAGGCTCACCCGTCGTAGCTGCCGGAGTGGGTGGAGCGACGCGTGTACAGTCGGGGCCTTGACTTGCAATGGCAACATCCGCCAGGAACAGCAAACCAATGAAATCAATCAAAATAGTCTAAAAATACCATTCCCTCATTTTGTAAACGTTATGTTAGAATAGTCTAGAAAATGAGGGAATTATATTTTTAGACAATTTGAATTGATTTAATTGGTTTGCAGTTCCTAGCGGTAAGCTGCCATTGCAAGCCTTGACCTAAGGAACCCAACATAAGGAGCGAGGCCCCTGTTTCCCATAGGTCAAACTTCGATTTCCGATCGAGAACAGAAGGAAAGCCTGAGGCAAACTGCGAAACAATTGAGGAACGCAGAGCCCCTCCCCAACGAAAAGGGTTCCTTCTTGAGGGCCCCGACTGTATTCTGAGACATGTTCTTCTTGATGCTCCCACCGTGGCAGGTGCCGGGCCAATGCCCACAATTTGGCGCCGTTGTCGATGGCAGCCACGGCACGTCGGACGGAAGGGTCGCGAATCCGCTCACGCGGCCAATGTTCTTGGCGCCCCGGTGTCCACGCATCGAGGCAGGCCCCCGGAGCGGCGGGGCCCAAGCGGGCCGCGAGCAGCAGATTTCGTACCACTCCACCTATCTCGATCCCCCCCCCCTCTCGTCCGACCTGCGTGTGATGTTTCTCCCCTCCCCCCCTTCCCCCAGCAACTCGTAGACACATGCAATTAGTATGAGAAACCTTGCTGTAAGACGTACCGGGCCTGTGGACTGCACTGTGGTAGCGGTATGGAATACAGAGAGAGAAAGAGAGAGAGAGAGAGAGAAAGAGAGAGCGAGAGAGACACGATTCGCAAGTAGAGGAACCCGTGCTGGGAGAGAACACGTACTTTTTCCTTGTGCGGGGGCTCGCGCGCGCCCGCTGTCGGCGCGCCACACAGCTCAAGGGCCCAGCGATCTGAGCCGAGAAGGAGGTGAGAGAGAGGCGCAGGCGGAGGAGAGGCTGGAATATGCATGACAACCACAGGGCCACATGCTGCGCCGACTTTTCTGGGACCTGGGGGTGCTCCAGAGCCTCTGTGGATCCCTGGGGCCGTCGGAATACGAGTTTTCCGTGGGCACCTGCCGGCTGGCTGCTGTCCTCTTCGATGGGCCTAGATACTATCCCCGAGGCCTCCCGGATAGGGTCCGAGTGGATGGGGACGGGGGATGGCGCCGCATCGCAAATACATCGCCGTTGCATCGGCGATGCACCGGCGACGTGGGCGCGGACAAAATCGGGCTCCAGTCGCCGATGCCTCGGCGATGCACTGCGATCTTCGGACCCCACCTGCTCGGACCCCAATATGGGAGTCCGGCAATCCTTGCGCCACCGGGCGGAACGCTGAAGCAGCAGGCAACGAAGAGGCATTCCTGGCCACGGCGAGCCTCGGAGACGAATGGGTCCTCCGACCTGGATCTCCGGAGCGGCCCGAAAATCAGAGCCTCTCCCGAGCCCAAAGTGGTCCCCCATTCGGCACCGTGGCTACACTTGCGCTCTCCTTGCGCGTCCTCGGCACGCCCGCGACGGACTGCGTGAGCCGAGCGGATCCCGCCTCGTCGCCTCCCCCTCTGCTGTGCCTCAATGAATTCTCGGCGCGTCTCCCACCCATAGCCCGACCGACGCCTGCACCAACTTCGACTCGCTTGCGCCCGCTGGCTCAAAAATGAATGCAGTGGCACTACCCGCGAAGGGTCTGTAAGCCCCCCAATAGGGGGTGACTGATTATTTACGCGGCGGCCTTATATTGAAGGACCGGGGTCCCACCACTGGGGGGTAGCTAATCATTGTTTTCCGCGGCACCCGTCGAGCAACAACGACGACGACCGCTACGACTACGATTGCGACTGCGACTACAACGACTACAACTACTTATGCCCAGAAGGAAGAGGGGGAGAGGGTGGAGGAGGAGGAGGAGGAGGAGGAGGAGGAGGTTTTAGGACCAGCCCTACTCACCGCCGAGTGACACGGGAGGGGGGGCCAAAACAAAAGTCTCTCAGGGGCTACGTGACTCCGTGCATTTCCCAGGTTAACGGTTGCTGCCCGGGGGGGTGGGAGCGGGGGGGAGGCCCACTGGAGGGCAGCGGCAGCGAAGGGCGCGGCGCGCACCCGCCAGGATGTGCCTGCGCGCCGCCGGCACGGTGCCCCCCCGCATGCAGGGGGGGAGCCAGCCCCCCCCCCACCCACCAGCATGCCCCCTCGCATGCAGGGGCACGATCGTTGGCTTGGTAGTCCCCAAACGTGGTGGTGACAACACCTGGCGGTGAGTCTCGGGCGATTTGGTGTCACCACCGGGTTTGGGGACTCGTGCGGTTTTCCGAGGATGTCCCGGACACTGGTGGGTCCAGGAGTCACAAAACCCGGTGGTGACCCCGCGTCCCCAAACCCAGCGGTGACTTTTTGGGGGATTCCAGGTCGCCACCTGGTATCTCACCACCCGGTTTGGGGGTTCCCAAGTTGGCGCAACTACCAAGGACCTGGGAGGGAGGGGGGGGGCGGGGCGGGTAACGAGCGCTGCCCTGGGGAGGAAAGAACTCTTACCATAAAAACAAACGCATGCTATCCTCCCCTCCTGCCTGCCCCTGCCTCTCCCTGCCCCTTCCGGGTAACGCTAACGACCGTACTGGGGGGGGGGTCCAGGCTCCCCCCACCCCAGTACGAGGGGGGGGGGCGGGGTTGGCCCGGGTAACGGTTTTTCACCTTGGCAATCAAGATGGTTAAAATGTCTCTTCCGTGTGGGGTGAAACAGAGGACCTCGTATCTAAACTGTCCCTGGCGACTAGAACGCCAAGACAACTGATAAGAACAGATACTACACTTGATCATCGCCAAAGGGCCCGGATGCCGAGCGTGACCCTCGGGAGGGCAAGAAACGCTCACTGCAAGAACGATACAGAAGGAACGACGCCCCCTCTCCCCCCCGCCACGAAGCCTGAAAGAACGCCGTGGGGGGGCTCGCCACCAGACCAGGAACGGCACGCAGCATGCAAGCCCAAGGAACAGCCGAGCCCCTTCCGAAAAGCGAGCGGACCTCCTCCCCAGAGATCCGACGTCGTGATTTTTTCAATACGCGGTCCCCCGAAGGCTCGACCCATTCCCCAGGACCGGTTTTTCATCCTGAGTCGTTTTTTGACGGTCCCGGGGCCCGGCGAGGGCCCCTAGAGGCCGAAAATCGAGAAAAACCTCCGTCTTGATTTTTTCAATACGTTGGAGGTCTGGGTCCCATGCCCCGACCACCTCCTCCCCTCCTGCCCCCTCCGCGCCGTCGGGCCCGACAGCTGCCGGGCCCCGCCGCCCGGCCGGTGGTGCCGCCGCCGGGCCTCCCCGGCGCTCTGCTGCGGCGCCGGCGCGCCGCCGCTCTGGCCGTGCCGCTGCGC